CCTCGGGCAATGTGTTGATCAAATATTTGGTTCGACATCCCTTTGAAATGGTATGATTAATGATTTGAATTGAATTTATACACCATCAAGAACCCTTGTAATCCAAACAATACAACATCACATTTCTTAGTGCGTAGACTTAAGTAAACAAATAAACACAAATCCACCCATTCTATCCTTTTCATTTGACTTGCGATCCTTATTGATTGCCAATCTACTTATAGCCCATACGATATTTATAGCGTGTCTTGTCTTTCATTTTTGGACCATTATCAAAATGATTGTCATTAAATACATCGCCAGATGCTATAATATCAAATCCAAAACGCTTTAAACTAATTTCATAGACGACCGAATTTCTCACATTCACGTACATTCTCTGTGTGTGCGAAATATCACGAATGCATTTGCAGACAAATACAAATGCTGAAATGGATGGATAAAATTAAGCTTGGATGTTGCTAGCCGCAAGCTAGACGCTATGCGATAATTATTTCGACTGATGATATGAATAGAAAATTAACCTTAATATTGGAGCATCTGCTCACTGTTCTATTATTCTGCCGATGTGTTTGCCCGAATATAGTGAATTCTTCCATTTCATTGGAGATCGAGAGAGAGTGTATGTGTGTGCTAGTCGGTCTTCGCCGTCGTCATGTTTAATGCGTTCCAAAATACTGGAGATATCAAAGGTCATCAGAATCAAAATGATTACACACTATGACAACATTCTACGCTCAAAATGCAATAACACGCATTTACGGCTCGAAATCCAATTATTTTGTAATTTTCACGGATTAACCGAATGAAAATGAGAATACAAAATCGCAAATAATAGCAGGTATACAAAATGATATTTTCCAGCCGCTCCGCTCTGTTGATGCTGTTTCCAAATTAATTGACAATTTTACCAGCGCATTTTCCGCACCATCATTTTGACAAACTTATAGAGAACATTGATGAAGCGTTTCATTATATTTCATTACGCCCAAATAAAAGAGAAAGCTTTTTGAATAAACCGGAAGTAATCTGATCTCTCATTGATTATTTAAAAATGAATGTGAATAGCAGCAGATCACATCATCCAAATCATCACATTAATTTGCATTTTTGAGTACGATATTTTATACGCTTTTTGCTATTGAATTATTTATTTTGGACCATGCATCAAAAACACTCGTAAAATTACCAAAATAATACACACTGCGTAGGCGTTGTAATCTATTGTTTTGCTTTATATCATCAATTTTATCATAAATCATAATGAAAATATATCGTAGAATGGAATGTAATGAAATTGCATTTTGAACAAACCATTAAAAATTGCATTTCAATAAATTTTTAGCCAGAATTTTGTTGGGCATTCTAGTGCAGTTTTAATATATAATAAAATAATTTTGATATATATCAATAGCAAAGATATATCGCATGTCAAAACCATCGTATGGTCCTTTGATTCATTCAAACCATTGTGTGGCACTTTTTGGTATTGCGATAGTATTCATAATGCAAAAATATTCATAAACCATGGGATTGATCAAATTTAATTAAAATAATGTTCATTTTCATAAATAGAATCAATGTCAAAATAATATAAAATGTTGTAAACATTGTTATGCTCCAATTAAAATGTATGGTAGTCTATACCGTTCGCAAGAGTAGGCGGTCAGTAAATTCACCAACATTGTTCTTTCTATCCAATTACCCTTCCAAATTCATTCATATAAAATTTCATATTTTTCACAAAAGCTGACACCAGATTCGGATTCAGTGGCCTCAAAAACTCCGAAAACATAATTTTCCATTCGAATAAAGTAAATGTAGCAATATTATCATTGTTATATAACGTCATTTAAAAAAACATTCGATATTATTGAACGTGAAGCATTGAAGTATCGTTCAATAAAAAAACTCCTCTCTTATATGAATGTCCATAAATGAAATGGTTTTATTTTTAAAATTGGAATTGAATGTACTATACGATGATATTGATGGCATAATAACTCTTTCTGCATATTTAATCAACGTGAACAAACCAAAAATTAATGTCTTAATTACTTGAAAGGTCAAATTTTACTTAAACATTTGGCTGTGTACTCATAATGTTGCTACATAATTTTTTTTCAAAATTTATTGTTTCACTTAAGTGTAGAGAAAGTGTAGGTAAATGTACAACATTTTGTTTCGAAGTGAACCTGGAATTTTTTTTTCAAAAAGTCGACACCTTTTTCTGGGGGTCCTCATAATTTTGCCCGGGGTAGCGATTTTCCAAATCCAAAATTTTATGTAATGTATTATGGTTTTAAAAAAGTGTACATTAAGTGTAGGTAACGATTTTGTATTCATATACCTATATATGTTCCTATACAGTATATTCCTATACTGAAAGTGTACAGCCTTGAAATTAAGTGTAGGTTAAGTGTACATCAATATTATGTTTTTAAACAATATTTTGTCTTAAACATTTATAATCATCGGTGTACTTATAGGTTTTGAAATCAATGGACGATAACAGATTTTTATAAAAATTTCAATCAATTTTTTCTTTCAAATGGAACCAAAAAAATGAGAGACAAAAAGAATTGCGACTAACTGAAAAAAAGCTCGAACCAAATTCATTTATTCTTTATTATCTTATCGAAAATGAATAAAAGCTAAAATACGAAGCTAACGAGAAAAAATATATAATTCGATCGAAGTAAATTTTCTACAGTTTTTTTTTTGGGGAAGGGCCAATAATCCAAACAATGTGAAATGAAATATTTCTCATCGATTTTAGATGAAAGAAAATCGCCTGCTTTTGTTAGTCCGCTTTTATGTTGACGTTGAGCGTTGTTATCGTTCAAATGTGTCCATGGAATGCACACCATGGATGTGGCGAAAGGGCAACGCCAAAACAAAATCACTATGGATGCCGGAAGTAACATGAATTTCACACACGAAAACAGACAAAGAAAAGACAAACATAGAGTATGTGGCAAACACAAAATAGGGAAGGCAAACACTTGAATTTTTTTTCACTTCAAGCTCGATATAGAAAAAACGATGAATGCTCAGACAACGTTTAAACTATTGAAATTTTCATTAAAAAAACTCAATTGGATAGAGATCCCAACATTCAAACATATCCGATCCGAAGGGGAGTAAAAAAAAATTGTCTCCGTTATAGACATGTTTTTCTTGAATTTATCTTTGGCATTGGATTGAAAGACGTAACTGGATTGAAAGACGTGCTTTTTGTACTGGAAAATTGATTCGGGCTTACTTTTATGTTGGGGTCTGTTTGCAATGCCGTCGATTGGCGATTTATCGTATTGAAAAAGAAGTAAAATGTCAGAAGGAAAAGCGGTTATAACATCTCAATCTTCGTTTAGTTGACGATGTCATATCGGCGCATATTTTAGTATGGAATTTGGAATATGATAGATATGGCGACGAGATCGTGGTACGTGATTGTGACGACGATGATGACAGATCCAAGATATATATCAGAAAGAGGTCGATTGTTTGAACTATGTTGTGCATTTTGTTCGAAGCAAGTTAACAAATCGAGTAATACCTCATGCACATAAAACAGTTTTTTTTTTCATTCAAATACAATACACTTACTCTTTCGCCCTTTTCGCCTGGACACAACAAAAAAAAGTATAGAAAGAAGTGATGAGAAAACAATTTTCAATGTTAAGCTTACATTTAAGTGGAAAAGTGAATGAAAATCAATAACTAATCAAAAGTTTTCTGTTCAAGCACAAGTGCGCCTCGTAAAATGTCGAACATATGTAATACCAAAACACGAAGTACTAAAAATCCAACACAGAAACGCCCGCCGATAGACAGAAAGATAGAAAGGGAGAGTGGCGTAAAGGTGTAGAGATTTGAAGTGAAAGCAACAAGAAAACTTTCCGAAAACTGTTTCGGTTTTATTTAATGTGGGTTGGTATTTGAAGCGAGAAAATGTAGGAAAATGGCAGAAAATTCGATGAATATTCTTTTTCTCTCTCTCTTCTCGGTCACTGAGAAAACAATGGAAACGATGAAATCGTCAAGAAAATTCAGAATCCGGAATTTAGTATCTTGATCGGGTTGGGCTTATTTTTTTTCTCTCTCGAAAACGTGATGTATCAACCGTACATTTCAAACTATGGCCAAATGCCAAAGTAGGGCTTTTTATTTTTTTAATTTGGGATTTCGAAGAAACGTGATTTGTTCATTGGCAAAAGCATTTGAATCACCTTTTGTTTCACAATATCCCACTAGATATTCCCCATTGAAATTGCATTTACAGACTTTTAAATGACAACGGAAAATTTATGACACAGCATTAAAATGAACCATTTATCAAGCTGAATTGTATGACTCTTATCGAATAAACGTAAAACCACCGACTTCAAGCTCAAATCAAATATTTAAAAGACACATTATTGTGGCACCGTCATCTCCTTATTTGAGAACTTCATACTGTATTCGTATAATTCGTGTTTTCCGCTGAAAAGTGTAAAGAAAAAAACTTTTTCAGCTTTTTATCTACCCAGCATCCATTTATGCGTTAAAGTTTATAAGTTTCAAAGTTAAGTAATCAAAAAAGTCATACTGACGTCAAAATTGTAGGGAAAGAATGTAATTTTGGTTTGAGGAAATCGAAGAAAAGAAATACCTTTTTCACATCGACTTCCTGGTAGATTTACATTTAATTTAAGTAATGTTATTGCAGATGCGATGCCACATTGAATTTGAAATGGATCCATGACGAATTGACTGAATACATTAAATCGAAACATAAATCAACACAAAAAAAATTGGAATACATTTTGGTGAATAAAAAACCAGTCCGAAAAAATGTCTATTTTTGTTTAGGTTTTGTTGAAAATGTTCAAAGTTTTGTCCCCCACCCCTCCCACTGGTATTTTTATTGAATAAAAATTTCAATTCAAAAAGACGACCGAAGAGAGTCCAGTCCGAATAAATTAGGGAAAAAATCTGGCAAAGTGTGTAGTACTTACATTGGCACATTGATGATACTGTTACGACAATGGCGACGATGACGACACCCGATGCAGTATCGGTGTAAATCACCAAGAGAACTGGAATGGCTTTTATTTAAAGCTAATGCTATCTTCAAGTTATTTCCGTTTCGCTTACGTCTTTTCCTCGTTCATTGTTGTGCATGCTTTTCGTTTTCTATTGATATACTTTGTAATGGCGTTGATAGTAAGACGAATCGCTTGGTTTTCGAGTAAACAAAGACCTAATTTATTTCACATTCACCTTTTATTTTATTTTTCACTATTTTTTCTTCTTATCAATTGGATGCTTTACTGTGATGTCTTACAAACAGTGTCACCAATGCTTGGTCATGTTTTCTACTAACATTGCACTTCTTTTTCATTAATTTTCGGTTTAATTTCTCTTTTCATTTTCGCTTCGCTTACCATTTTCGTTTCACTTGCAGACGCTGCTTCCTTTTCTTTTACATTTCGTTTTTTTTCACTTTGCCGGATACTTCCTTATATTTTTCACTTCGTCCTGATTATTCTTTTCTTTTAATGCACTTGGTGCGTCGAACTGAAGTATGAGATAAAGTTGACTTAAATTTTTTTATAGTCTACCTGTCGTCTTGCAGATTGCCTTTGCCAACCAGAGACAGCTGTATCGTTTACAAGAAATCTTTGAGCTTCAAAGAAAGTAATCCATTCCATTTATATAACCAGCTGTTTCTGTTTTCTATGCAGTGTGTGTGTTATCTTTCAACAGTTATTTATTATTATTATTTTTTTGTTCACTGGAATCATCAACAAAACAGTTGATTTAATTCTGGTTGTGCTGCATGAGTGTACTATTGTATATTATACGTTGATGTAACTCTCATATTGTCATTGATTGCCAAGTATCGAGTGCGTGCGTGCCTGAATTACATAGATAAACACATTCATTTCATTATAAACAAACAATTCGCATCAAACCAGCGAGATACGAATGCGTTGTTGTTATTCAATTGAATCAGAGCACTTCGAAAATCCAACATTCATTGAACTAGACACGTAGAAAGCACATTGAATTTTCAATTCCTTAGTTTTTACCATCGACCATTGCATCTTTTCGATGTTGAAGTTCTTTTAATGCTTAAGCGAATAAAAGCAACGACTTCTGCTAACATTGTTTACGTTTGCCGTCGTTGTCGTACACTTTTTTTAAAACAAAATCTCTTCGTTTCTCTTTCACTATCTCAATCCGTCTCATTCAATCGTTTTTATGTGAGCACATTGTCGGAGAGTACGTGCTCGCATTTCTTTTACATTTGATTTGTAAGTATTTTTATTTCAAATTGCAGTCTATTTGCTTTTGTGTGCTTTCAGTTCAACTTTAACGTTTTTAAACCAGTTTCACATTACACAAACACCATCGTTGTCGTTCTTGTGTATCCGATTCAATTCACAGAAGTCCCGGCTGGTGCGACACAAAATTGTGTAAATATTTAAAGTACTGTGGCAAATGGCAACGGAAGAAAACAAGAGTAAAAACACATTTGCACATGTCACCGCACACGTATCGAACGACGAAATATGTATGTGGATGTATGTCGTAAAGTGGCACCCAAAAAAATAACTTCTTCCTTTCATTCAACTATCACGAAAATTCACTTGTTCACCCATATAGTCACTACCATTGCAATCGTTTCCATTCGTTTGTACATAGAAGACGCACATAATCAAGATTTCCGGAAGTTTTCGCTTCGGATATTTTCTTTTCTTTCTCGCTTTTCTTTATTTCGATGTTCTTTTTCTTGAATGTGTGTGTCTTGATTTGCTTGATACACAGTCTCTTTTGTGATGTTTATTTTCGATGGTAATCGGTATCTGTTGCACTTGATCTACTATTAGTTTTTGTGATATCCGAAATACTTTGCAGGTGTGTAGGTTTTTCTTTTCCGCTTGTTAGTTTTTCTCTCTTTTTTATCGCCAAGTATTGACAAACACGAGAAAAGTTTGGATTTTTTTGTTTGACGTCCGAACACGCACAATGATACACTTCGTATTAAGCGCAAAAAATTATATCCAAATTTAGAATAGGTTCATTTCATAGGAGTTTTTGTAGAAACGACCGACGTCAATCGTTCGCGCTTTGACCAATTCGAGTTGTCTTTTTTTCGTCGACCCACGGACGATTTTGAATGCTCATAAACAAGGTATCGAAACCACCACTTTTTGTCAATCTTATTTCTGTTTTTTTGCGGTTTTGTTCATCAAGGCTTTTTTTTACACTGTATTGGCTGGTTGAAAGTCCCAAAACTGATAATCAAACATTTTGGAATGATAGCCAAAAGAGTCCCTCGACACACGTCTTTTGGGATTATTGTGATGAGAAAAAACGTCTTTTTTGTTCGTGACTAATACCGAAAATCGATAAAAAAAAACCATTCGATTTTACGGTACACCGAAGGTGGCATATACACTTTTCAACATATTTTCAATTTATTTTCCAATTTTAATTTTGTTGAAATCGTCTTTCGACGACAAATGACACATTTTTTCCACCAAAAATTCATTTCAAATGTCAGAGAATGTTTAATGGTCGGCGAAGCTACTATGCTTTTCACTTATTTGCTTTTCTTCGTCAAATATTTTCGGTTTGGTGTAAACTTGTTAACCATTGAAGAGCATCAAAACAGTGTGTAATGAGACACCATTGTATGTTTCACTGTGAATACTCCCCCCGTTTGTTTAAAATTTTCTTAGTCAATTTTTTGCATCAATCTCTTGGAATTGGGCATGTTCGCTGTCTACTTTTTTCATTCTCGCTGTTTCATGACAATGGTATTCTGTTTTTTCAGGCGGACAATAGAAAATTATACACACAAATTTAACGGTTTTTTCTTTCACACTTTATCAACGCCGAAAACATTTTTTTTCTCTTATCTTTAAGTCGGCGAACATGATTTTGTTTGGCTCACAGTCATTTTATTATGTTCATGTATTTTTTTTCTTCAAGCTTGTTCATGCCGTAGCACTCGACTCGTCGTACACAATGTACAGTTGTTCGTTGTTTGATTTAAATAATTTGCCTTTGTTCGTCTATTTTCCGCTCTGTTATGGACCTTGTTAAATTTTGCGAGAACAACAAGAAAACATAACGCAATTTTTTCTGGACTATTCACAAATGCGACGCCAAACGAACACAGGGTCTTGTTTTGTTTTCTCCGTCTAAATGTCTGCAGATTTATTCAATATTAAAAATTATGTATTTTCACTGTGTGCGATTTTTTTTCGCTTCAGTTTGATGCTGTTGGATTTGCGAACAGAGCAGCAGGCGTCCCATTTTTGCGTTCATTCACTGACAATATTATGTGGAAACAGGCGCTTGTCACACTTGTTTGCTTCGCTTTCTGTTCTGTCAATTTTTTTTCGCTCGGCACTTTTTTCTCTTATTGAACCAACAATGGCAAACGTATTATAGTCATCACAAGAACAAAAAAATAAACAAATATTATGTAAAATACACTTCAAAAACACGAACTGTATAATGCAAAGCTTCTCTCTCTAGACTCAGCTCAGGACTCTCAATGATGCCCCCTTCATTTGTTATTCTCTGCTCGACATGAATTCAATATACTATATATTCACCGCTGTCGTGCTTTGTTTTCAAATGATTTTTGCTCAACTAATTCCGCACCTCCAAAACAAAATAGATAAGGTCGTCGTTATAATAGAGGCCAATGTTCATTTGAAAATCGAAAAACTTGTTCCAAATCCATTTTTATCGGAACACATCGTGCGTCATGAAAATCAATGAACAAATTTAGAAAACGAATGCCCAAAATTACTATTGCAATCAATACAGTTTAATCTCATTAGCAAAATCCATCGAATGCTTTGTCTTTCCACATTTTTGTCTTATCAAGGATTCAGCTATTAGTTTTTTTCTATTGTGATTCCGGCCGAATGAGCAATTTTCTTACCATTGATATTTTGTCAATTGCTTATCGATCGCCTTTATTTGCAAAGTTCATTTTGACGATCAAAATTCGCGGTTCGAGCGACCATAGTCCTTTGGTTGAATGAAAACTAGTATTTAGTATTCAATTTAGTCACTTGGTCACAATTCACTTGAACTCTGGTTGTTTGCGAGTCAAATCACCAGTTTCTGCGATAGACAATGCATAAAAAATGCTCACACTCCGTTTTTTCTCATCGTTTCGTGTATGTTTCACAATTTGGCCAAAAAGTGTGAATTTACTCCAAATTAAACCGATTTTTTACGCACAATTTAAGAGGATAATTTCGAATTTCATTACGCAAACCGTTTTTTTGCGCTGGAAATTAATGAAACCCTCTTATTTTATTGTTTGCACCAAAAACGAAGGAAAATCAACTACAATTGTTCAAACATTTGTATTTTATCCCTTCCGGCGACTGCTGACGGAAAATCGGATCGGTTTTTTTTATTTCATTCAATCTTTTTTTTAATATTCACTTAAAATATTTACTTTTGTTCTAAAAGCCAATTTACATTCAACCGCTGTAATGGGATTCTTTTTTTTCTTTGTCCAATTTTTTTCCGTTCACCATGGACTAAATACTTTAAAACGATTTTCTCCGATGTTTTCACTCGGTTGTTTTATTTCGTTATTTTGATGCTCAATCGTTTGTAACACGCGGATTGAATTTCAACGATATGTTCAAGAATAAAACGAACGAACACACGAATGCGTATAAATGGCTCGTACAGTCGTTATCCGTTCACAACAAAATGTATACACAGACTGAATGCGAATGTTTTCCATCATTATCCTTTATGCGGTTGCAACAATATTTGATTTTATCGAGAGACCGAATATTCAGTGAAGGACGGCGTTGTTTTTAACATCTAACAATACGATGGCACACGCATTTTCGAACATAAAGAGGGGCAACACGTTTCGATGATGCACTTCCGAACAGGAGCCGAACGAAGGGTATGACGAGTGTGAACGAAGTCGTTTTTCGTTAAGCATGCTTCATCCAATTTTCCTCTGCACAACATCGTGTTTTTCGTGAAAGTGGAGAAATGTAAATGTCAGAAAAGCTTCAGTTCAGGGGAAAATTCGGTCGATGTAAGGAAATTCTTGTTGTGTCAGCCACATTCATTATTTCCCCCAATTTCCTTTTCAACACTGTTGCCACATTTCCATCGATACTATGGCATTGACGATGTAAATTCTACAAGTGAAGTATATCGTAGCATAAAGACGTTGTCAGTTAAAATTCAATAAATTGCGATTTGATTACGGAAGAAAAATGAAAATTATAAGTCCGCATTCATACAATTTTTGGTTATATTGAATAACAACTATAATTATGGCATTGAACAAAACATTGTGACACAATATCAAGCGAAAATTTGGCTTATGAACACGCGACCAAAACATTCATAATAATAATTAATGTGAACACTGAACAGACTTTCATAACTAAGCAAAAATTCAAACATCCCATGCGTTCCACGTTCACTACACAAAAAAAAGTATCGCACGGGACGACGGAGTTGATTCATATGGTCGCTAAAAGTAAATCACTTACACATTCAATTAACATAAAATATGAGGATTTCATTGAGCAACAGTTAAATCCATCAAAATCCATATATTTATAGGATTGAAAAGTTTTCAATCCTGCTGATTATTTGGTGCAAGTTTTCGTCGTCGTCATCTGCACTCTGCTATAAAATGTCGTACTCTGTTTTCAATGCATTTCATCCCAACAAGGAGCACATAAATATATGTTAGATTGAAACGAAGTCAAAAAAATCGAATAATATGCGGTTTGATATGACTGCTCCGGCGAACTTGAGATAATGTCAAAAACTTTTGATCGCACATTTATTTGTGCCATTTCACAACAATCGATGGCAACCACACAAATATTTCAACTGAGATTTGAATGTTTTATTTATACATGTATGCTAGGGGTTGAAAACATTTTTTTTCACGAATTAAAATTTAGGATTTACTAGAAAATACTAGGAGCTAGAAACTATCAAGATCGGTCAAAACATTTTATGATAAAATGTATGTCTATAAAATTGTAATGCAAGCAGCTAGGAAAAAACTAGAAGATTTTAGAGAATATTATACGCAAATTTACCTAAAATAGGTAATACTAAAAACCTTGTCTTCCCCTTAGCATGTATGTCAATGAGAAAGTATATAAATGTCTCTGTGTGTGTGCTTGATGGTTGCTCGATTTTGGCCATTTGAAAGGAGTCGAAGTATTCGGCATTTACTAATATTTATTTGCTGATTTTTCAATTTCTGACAATTCGAAAAAAAAAAACTTTTTCAATTGTTTTATTGGCATTCAAATCAATTTGTGTAACTTTGGCCATGTCAAGTTAAAAATTCTTTCAATAAGTCTGTTGCCAAGTTAGCGGAAGTTATCAGGCATTCTTTTTTAATGACGTCGAAGATCTCGGCACATCCCACTGCGACGCAACTTTTCACAACAATCTCTTTCTTTTTCCCCCTTGCCAACTCAGTCGCTCTTTATTTTCACTTTCAGTTTTTGCGCATAATTTATGTTATATAAAAATGATGAATCGAAACTTTTTTGTTTTTGTTATTGACGTTCCGTTGAAATGGTCGAAACAATAACTTTTGTTTGAAATTTCGCGGTCGATGGCCGCAATTTCATTGTATCTCTTGAATATTTGTAATAAAAACGTGCTAATTAAATAAAACAGTTTAAATTGTCTGAATATCATTTATGTTTTTCATTAAATTGAAACATTGGACAAAATAAAATGAATTTTTTTTTCGGTGTACCAAAGGAGAAATCTTCCACAGAGGATTTCTATTTGATAGAAAACATTTCTTCAATAATTGTTCAACTTTTTAACCCGACGCATATTGACGGATATAAATCCTGAAGTCATAAAATAAAAGACATTAAATCAAAAACTTTTTTAATGGGCACAAATTTCTTCAATCTTTTTTTCTGATTGAATCGAAAAATGAGGAATTGGATGTCAAGATATCTCTTCTCGTTTTTGCTCTGTATGACTAACTAAAACTTCACGTGAAAATGCGTTTCATTGAAGAATTATGCTTCAACACGTATTTCATACATCATAAAATAAGTGAAATGAAATTGCAATCGAATATTTAACTCATAAAATACTATCGATTCTCGAATTTAGATTTATTTTTCCTTCGAAAAGGAACAAAAATAATAATAACGAGTTTCAATATATATAATGTATCACATCACGCAATCATAACAAATCAAGGGGAGTGGGCAATTCCAAAAATCGCTAGAAAAAAGATGAAGGAAATAAAAATGAAGATAACCAAGGGTTCAAACGGACATCCGGCTCGGGAATAAATTGCAAAGTGAGTTTTCTTTGAATTTCTTCATGTTTGCGTTTTCATGCGAATCCCTCAAAATTGGCAAGAGTCTGATTTAACTTCATTTCCCTGTTTTTCCCGTGATAAATACGAAAAAAAAAAGAAAACAATATCTAACCCAAGATTTTCATTTGATTCCTGTTGAAACCGTTGTCAATGGCATTCAAGATTCCTTGCACAGAGTTAAATTTTCATTTTTCAATCGCCTTAAAAAGAGATACTCTTTTTCCCAGAAATTTTCATTCAGTTGGTGTAATGAAGGAAAGGACTTGAAATTTACGCAATTGGATTAATGAACTCTATGTTGATGAACTCTATGAAATGAAAAATATGTTGTCTGTTTGTGGTTTGCCGGCCAAATTTATTCAATTGTTTCTTAATGAAATTATGTAGTAAACTCATTCTCAAAACAAAATACAATCATTTGAAAGAAAATTCGAGTACATTCATTACAAAACGCAATGTCTTTTGTGTGATGAATTTGAATCGATTTGCTTATTGTTTGCAAAATTGATAGACTCCATTTGAAATTTCGATAACACTTATCATTAGTGGAATTGAGTTTTGCCACAATGAATAATAATAATAACTCATTTAGAGAAAAAGGTTTTGCGCATTGTCTTCATTGCCGCTCTCTCCTCTCTCTCTCTCTTTCTCTCGTTCAAGAACAATCATCATGTAATGCTCGGTAGCACCGAATCATTATTCGTTTCATGAATAATTCGGAGGATGAGCTATACCATAAGCCACTCAATTGGTGTGCGTTTTCTGGTCTCACCTGTTGTCGACAACATTGTTCATTTCACCGATAATATCCACAAAAATACTCAATAAATTTTATTGAAAGGCTACATGCCATTTTGCTTGAAAATTCTTGAACAATGGGATTCAATTAAATTATTTTCGGTGCATAATGGCCCAAAGTAGCACTGAAGCCGATGCTGAAGTGTTAAGCAATCAATCTTATGATGAAAATACTCAAGTAAAATATTTCACTCTTGAATCAAAGGAGCGAGTACGACGTTTCCCCCTTTGCTGAGCGAAATAAATCCGATATACGGCGCTGATTTAAATGTCACTCTGATACATTTTTTGGCTTGACAATATATAAGCTCTTCATTCAACATGCATAATTTTTGAACGGTCGAGTAAAAAAAAGAAACATATCATAAAATATTCTTCTTACGTTTATCATAAAAATTCTCTATATTTTAAATTTATTTGTTTAAAAATAACATTAATTTCAATTTTTTTTTCATAGATTGAACAAGAATCTAATGTAAAAAGTAATACCAATGCGACACCTACCGTTAAAATAGAAAAGGAAACTTATTTGGAATTGTAACATTTTGGTCCGCCATAACAGCATCTTCGTTTTGCTTCTCTGTGATTGGTCAAGTAAAACGAAGATGCTGTCATGGTGGACAAAAATGCTACAATGGATACCAACTAAGTTTCTTTTTGCATTTTTACGGTAGGTGTCGCATTGTCATTACTATTTACATTGGATTCTTATTTAATCGATGAAACATTTTTTGTTGAAATTATTGTAATTTATAAACAAATTAATTTTTTTATAAAAAAAAAATTTTAATAAATTTTTTAATGAAAAATGTTTGAAAAATATTTTATGACATGTTTTTTTTTCAACGATTCAATAATTATGAATGTGTATGCATTTTAAATGAAGAGCTTATATATTGTCAAGCCAAAAAAGTATTATTGTGAAATGACAGAGTGACATTTACATCAGCGCCGTATATCGAATTAATTTCGCTTGGCATAGGGGGAAATATTTTGACAGATAGTACTCGATCCTTTGATCCCCAACCACTTGATAGTGGAATTATATAAATATAGCATTTAAATTGCTGTAACCCACATTCATTATTACTGTATATACTTATGAAGTGAAATAGATTGCTTTCAAAGAACGGGATTTTCATTGGAATTTCATTCAATGGTGAAATAAGCTTCGAAGCGGATTGATCTAGTTTTTTCAAATTGAATTCCAATGAACGCGTACAATAATCACAATACCATATACGTGCATGACCACCGTAGATCGTTTGAAATCAACAAATTTATTTCAGTCAACATAAGTTGATGAATAATCATTTGAAAAATTTCCTTCCGGAAAATATTGGTTTTAAATGAATTTGCAACTGCTTTATCGAGTGGAAACTTTCCACTACTGCGATATATCATTTCATTTTGGCTTCGTTGCATAAAATCCAGCACAACTACATCGAAGATCGAACTACATTGTAACTTTGGATAATTATTTGTTTCGAAAACCAGATAATTTATGTTGTGATTAAACTTCGAATTAAGTTATAAGTATATTAAATTTCCACTTCAAGT